GAGCCTCTCCCTTCTTGCTTTTGCTGTTTTAAAACAGGCATTACGCAGGTCTGAGATTTAGCCCTAGTTTTGCCTCGGGCTCCTGCAAAGCCCATGCATGACATGTCTTCATAGCCCACACGGAGTTAGAATGCTTCCCGTTGACATGGTTTGAATTTCTGTCTTCTCACTGGGAAAAATTTGGATGAGCCCAGCGCTGTGGCTACTTTCAAAGCTGCCTGACTACTTCCCACGAACTGATGTCTGTCTGCAAGGCTGGCCTGGGTGCTCTTTGTCTCTGCTTTGCCCCAGAGCCAAGCTCTCTCTGTTGTCGCTACCCAGGATGTCAGAATAAGGAGTCCACTGCTTCCCCTGTTGTGTGAGAGAGGACGGCAACTTCAATTCGTCCTTCAACCTTGGGGGAAATGAGACCGAAACCCCTCCATATTACTTTCTACTGAGAAGTTCTCTGATTTGGAGCTTCTTGTCTCCAGAAAGATCAGAACGAGAGTGCCGGGAAATATTTTCTAGTTCTTTGTTTTATCCCTTTCGGGGGCTGGATTCTGCTGTACTTGGCTTTCCAAGCTGGGCTTTCTGGAGAGAATGTGGTATTGGTGAAACATTTACCCCAAGCGGAGATGCAAGCGTTTTGGGGGAACTGAGACCAGTATGTGCTGGGCGCCTTCCAGTTGGCCAGTCCGTGTAATCTGGTCCGTCGACGGGATACCAAATTCAGGAGGCGGAATGTGGTCTTATGGCCCAGCGTAGAACCCTAGGGTTCCACCTGCCTTCTGGAGTTTGTAGGCTGTTCTCTCTTGGCCTTCGTTGGCTCCTTTCTCATGCTGCCCCTGCCACGTCCACTCCCCAACCCTCTCTCCTCACATCCCGGGAGATGGAGTGTAGTTGGCTTAAGTTCGGAGTGGCAACTGAAGCACATGTCAGCTCACATCCCGGGAGATGGAGTGTAGTTGGCTTAAGTTCGGAGTGGCAACTGAAGCACATGTCGGTAGCTCTTACCAACATTTCCTTTTCTCTCCTTCATTCCCACTCTCACTTTTATTTTCTCTTCAAATGCTTCTTTCTATCTTTTAGACATTCCGGTTATGCCCGCAGTCTTTACCTCTTTAGTGACGGGGTCTCTCCCTGAACCTGTTCTCCCCTGTACACTTCCCGATTTCTAAGTCCCTGTAGGATGACCCGGAGCACTCAGGCATAACCTTTCACCGACTCAGACTCTAAGGACTTAACTTTAGCAACAGATAAAATTCCAATCCTGTTTCCTCTTATCATCTCTCCTCATTTCAAGAGATTCCAAGTAATTAGGAAGACATCATATTTCTCTTTATTCAGCTCCGGATCACGTTAGCTCTCTCGATAATTAATATCACATTGTTAACTTCAAATAATGTTTATACAACCCCTTTGCACAGTGCATGCGCCAAGCCTTCCCTCCCCCTTACCCGTAGTTGATTTTTTAGATCCAAGGCAGAATTTTTCATGTATCCCTATTAGAGATAAACCATTGATCTAACCTGCGAAGTTTTTTGTGTTTTGTTTGTTTGTTTGTTTGTTTGTTTGTTTTTTAATTCTCGACTCTGGTCTCAAAATATTCCCTTCTTCACATCGTCATCCTCAGGGGTGAGAAGCCCACCCTCATATCCTCATTCACGTTACAGAGGAGGGCCGAGCCTCTCACGTGTCATCTCTCCAGGCTCTTTTATCCAGCTTATTGGTCACATCATAAACTGTGCTGTCATCCTACTCTCATTTCCTCATATTTTCTCCAGTGATACCCTGGAAAACTTTGTCAAACACCTTTTTGTTTGTTTGTTTGTTTGTAAGAATATTTATTCAAGAAAAAAGAAGTCTTTTTAAAATTAAAATTGACAATATATCAGATCGAGGTGTACAGTATAGCGGTTAGACATTTATATAGTTTACAAAGTGATCTCTCTGATAAGTCTGGTACCTATCGGACACCACACGTAGTTATTACGATATTACTGACTCTATTCCCTATGCTGTACTTCACATCCCCAGGACTGTTTTGTAACTACCGATTTGTAATTCTTAATCTTTTCACCTTTTACACCCAGCCCCCCAACCCCACCCCCCTCTGACAGCCATCAGTATCTATGAATTTGTTTCTGTTGTAAACACCTTGATTAAGGCTAAAACATGATTTTCCAGATCCGTGAATTTAGTAACCCAGCCTGAAAGGAGTGACATGACTTAGCCCTCTGTGACACCCAAACCAGCCCTCTGTGCAGCCTATCTGGAATCTTGCCTCTGCCCGGCGTAAAGGGCACCAGTTCTCACTTGCGGGCTTCAGCTCTTTCCCCTTAAGACCATCAGATGGACATTTTTAGCAGTGCGCACTAGGATGTAATCATCTGCACATGTAAATATTTTTCCTAGCTCCCTTATCAGATATTGTCATACATGAATTGCTCTGTATACCCACCTCCGGCATTATTTTTACTTTCCATTTCATAGCTTATGTCCTTTTTAGTAACTATTTCTATAAGGAAATTGTTTTTTTGTTCTTTATAAGTTGGCTTAAAATCTTTTCAGATCCCTTATTCTCTGAGCAAATGCATTCTTAGCATCAATGGGCTGTATTCATCCTTACTTTTGTTACTTTTCCTCATAGCTTACAACTAAAAACCCAAATTCTGTCTTTCAAGTAGTACAGTAAAAAAAAGTACTGAAAATGGGAACTATTTCCCCAAGTATGTATTTTCTTGTCCAAGATTTCATGTTCCCTAAATGATGTTTTTTGTCGTCCCATGAATCAGCAGGATTTGCTATGGTCAGCAGAGCCTGGAAGCCTCCGCCCTCTAGTACATGCTTAGGAAGTCAGTCGACACACCCAGCGGCTGGGGGTGTTTTAATGACCCTGGCTGGCATTTGCCTCCCAGGGCCAGTGACCAGCTTCCGCAAATTTCCTTGAGCCAGCATCATTCTCCACGAAGGGTTTGGGCTGCCTAAGAGCCCCATGTTTGCCTGCACTCTGTGGCACACCTTCTCCACTTCCCCCGTCAGTCTAAACATCCTCTTGACTCTTGAGTTCATTCTCTTCCATGAAACTAATGGGGTGCTGTTGCTTTTCCCAAAGGCCCACATTTTTTTTTTTTTGCCGTGGAGTTTGATCCTTTCTCAACTGCACCCATTTGGATACTCTGAAATCTGACTCACGCGGGAACTGGTATTCTCGTTCCGTGGGGCATGCTTACAGGCAGTCACCTCAGGTGATACACATAGTATTGTTCCAGGATTCTAGTGGTGCCAGGACTCAGACGGCACTGTCTCCAATGGTTACCCAGGAGGTAAGAGGGACCGGACCATGATGGTCCTGAGGTGTCTCCAGCACCAGTAGGCAGGGGATCTCTGGCTTAGGGAAGGGTTCAGAAGGCCAGGCACTACTCACCATTTGTCTTTGGTCCCCACAGAACATGTTTGGGATGTGGAAGCCTATGGTGTTCTTGGCTCTTGCAGCTGTGGCTCTGTATGTGTTACCCAACATGCGACAGCAGGAGACAGAGTTCTGCCTCATGGAGTGATGGCAGACCTGGGCCAGCCAAGGGGGCAGATCCCCAGTGGCTACTACCCTCAGCTTTGGGCAGGACACACTGTGCCAGAGCCCCCACTCCACCCATATGTCCCATGTGTCCCCATCTTCTTAGCCTCAGTCACCCAGGCTGGAAAGGCTTATGGGGAGCTAGCTGCTGGCTCCCATCTCCTCCTGCCTTGTATAAGAACTTGAGTTCCTTGTAATTAAATATCAACCTAACTACATAAGACTTTGTGGCTTTTTTATTTGCTAAATACCTCACAACACAACCAGAACAGAGTGGTTCCCCTTAAGCCAGGTACCTCGCAGAGGATCTGGCTCCTAAATGTGATTTCTCACTCTACAGATGACCTCAGAAATGAGGCTGGCTCCTTGTGCTGCCAGCCGAATCACAGATGGATTGGTCTTTGCATATTAACCTAATCTCAAGGAACTCGCCTGGGCACACAGAAATGGAATGAACTGGGTACTTTGTGCGAGAGGGACCCAATGACCTGCCCTTAGGTTCTGTGCCCACACCTATCTCCTGCGAGAAGGATGCCCTGAGATCTGTGTGTGAGCCTTCGTGGCTTAGTCCTATGACTTCTCAAGGGATTTGCTCTCAGAGATGACTTATTAATCACTCAGGGCCTTGGCAGTAAACAGGTGGCACACTCAAAAAGCTTTAACTGAAGAGTTTAATGAAGGGACAATGTACAGAAGGCAGAGCTAGGAGAACCAACCAAGAATAGTGAAGTCCCCAAGCACCAGCAACAGTGGATAGTGACTGTTACCCCAGGCCTGAAGCGGGAAAAGGGGAGGAAGCAAGAGCTTGAGACCTAAAAAGGGCCCCCAGATACGCATGGTGGCCACAGGGGGATAGTAAGGTGGCCTTTACCACAATGAAGTTTATGTATTCCCCGACCCTCCTCCCACCTGCCAGTTTCCTGTTGGTAACTGATCCCAACTGGGAGCCAGAGAGCAGAGGTGCCCAGGTGACATCATCTTTTGAGGTCAGCTTCCTGGAGTTCAGAGTGGGACAGAGGATTGAGAGTGGGTCTCAGTAGGGACAAGCAGAATGATGATGATTTATGAGTGTCCTTGTGATTGGTTCTTATCACGAATGTTTCCATTTGAAAGCCCCCAAGTGTATTCACAAGCCACAGTGGACAGAATGGCCCCCATGACTGCTAGTTTTCCGGGACCCCTCTCTCTGCCTCCTTTCCACCTGATGCCAGAGAAGTCTGTCTCATGTACTCAAATAATCCAAACCAACCTATAGCGCGTGTAGAGTGGTGGGCACTGCTGAGCACTAAATGAATTTATTTCTTCCCTAGCTTTTCCTTGGGGGAGTAGCAAGGACATTTAGAATTTAAAGTTGTGT